AAAAAAAAAAAAAAAAAAAAAAAAAAACAATAATTATATATAATTTTTATTAAAAATTGTTAAAATATTGTTTTATTAATTAGAGAAAATAGTATAGATGGAGTATTAGATGCTACATTTTCAGTAGAACATAGTAGTTTTGGAGTGTTAAAAAATCATGAACTTAAGCCAGGTGGTAAAGACATTCCTGTAACTGAGGAAAATAAAAAAGAATATGTTCGTTTATACGTAAACTATCGCTTTATGCGAGGAATTGAACAACAATTCTTGGCATTACAAAAAGGATTCCATGAATTAATTCCACCTCAACTATTAAGACCTTTTGATGAAAGAGAATTAGAATTGGTCATTGGTGGTTTAGGAACTATCGATATTAATGATTGGAAGATGCATACACGATTGAAACATTGTACACCTGATACACCAGTAGTAAAATGGTTTTGGCAAATAGTGGAATCTTATGGAGAAGAAATGCGAGCTCGATTACTTCAATTTGTTACTGGAAGTTCTCGAGTTCCTTTGCAAGGTTTCAAAGCTTTACAAGGTAAATAATCGAATTAATAGTTATTTCATTTTTATAATAATATATATTTTTATAGGATCTACAGGAGCCGCTGGTCCACGATTATTTACAATTCATGCTGTTGATGCGCCAAGTGAAAATTTACCAAAAGCGCATACCTGTTTCAATAGAATAGATATTCCAGAAAGTTATCCAAGTTATCAAAAAATGCTTGATAAACTTACACAAGCAGTTGAAGAAACTTGTGGTTTCGCTGTTGAATAATAGGTAAAACAGTGATATTAATTCATTGATATAATGTATTTTTTTTATATTTTATTGAAATTGCATATTTTAATAGGAAATATTTGTCGACAAATTCTACTGTCGTTAAATTAAAAATAAACTTTTGAAGTACCAAGAGACGTTATGTATGAGAATATGCAAAGAGCTAGTATTATAAAATGAAAATGTTAATACGTAAAATGTCAGAAATAATCTGACAATGTTTTGTACAAATGATAAAATGGCCTTGATGGTTATAATGACTTCTAAGTGATTGTCGATTGGTACATTATGTGAACACTCTTGTGATTTACACACTTCGTCCATGAAGATTTTAATGAATGGTTCCTCAGAAGTTTTGATTATATTGGTCTTTAACTATTTATTATTCAATGACTGATAGAGATGTGCAAAAATTATAATTTCATTGAGGTAAATATTGATTGGCCTAAACTTTTATTTTATTTATATTAATCGCGTTTTCTATTTTAACTTTAGAATCAATAATTTACTTATTATTTAAGATCATCATCAAAGAATTAACTTTATTATTTTCGATAAAAAATATAAAAATCATGCATGCACAAATATGTATAGAAAATGAATTCTTTCATATAATGAAAAACATTGTTCAATCAAAATACACTCATGTTAATATTTTATCATGTTTAAATAAAAATATTAAAAAAAATAATAATAAAAAAAGCAAAAAATAAAACAATTATTTAAAAATTTCATAACAAATATCTACAATATTATCTGCAATGAATTTTAAGTCAATGGAACAATGTATTTCATTTTCGAAAGCTTTCAATTTCTGTTTATCAAATGTAATTACAATATGCACAGTCAATTAATTCTATATTAACAATTTTTAAAATAATAGAATTTAGTAATGAACTAAAAGTATATACTCAAATTCATGTTATTATAGTCAAATATTGATTAAAAGAGTAGTGTGTGCTGGGAATTTAGTATTTTATAATATATTATTTCAAATTAATATCATTGCAACTAAGAAAAAAATATAAAATTCGTATATACCATAAATATGCAAGTGTTTAAGATTCTATGAATAAATTTGATAAATATTTTTAATATTTAAATTCATGCTGATTTTTACATAATTAATTTTGATTAAATATCAATCATATTGATTCAAGATTATTAAACAAAATATTAAATTAATTTAATTAGAATTGAAATTAACGAAAAAAATATTTTTATCAGTTGTAAAGAAGAATGATATGAATAGTCTCAGTATTAAAAATTATTATCATTGGTATATGAACACTTGCTTCGAGGAACTTTGTAATGTAATTGGCAAATTTTATTGTTGCAGCACAATGAATTGTGCGAAAATTATTGTTGCTTGTTTAGAAACTAATAGTACCGAATGCGTTAACAATATGTAAATAGTATAATGTTTAATATAAAATTAACTCGAGCGTAAAATGTGTGAACCATATAATTGGTTTTTGCACGATAAAAACGCATCGGTTCTAACGTAGGCTAAATCGTGAATTGTGTACATTAGCTTTAATTTAAAAAAATTGAACACATATTTAAAGAAAGAGTTTATTCGATTAGTTTATGTAAAGTTAAAAGTTTTATTCGAATTGACTCTTTTTGTTATAGAAGACCACAAAATAATATCTATACTTTACTAGTTTTCAGTAAAGCATATAGAGAAAGACACTTATTTATCACAACAACTTATTCATTTAGTCTCTAGCATTTATTTTTATTGTAAAAAATATCTAATTGCTGATAGCACGAATCATTATTTTGTATTATTATTGCATTATTGTATTTTATTCTACACGTAACTGTGATCAAACATATCTAGAAAAAGAAGTAGTGGGAGACACTTATATAGTGAATTTATTTTAAATATATTTGTCTACTTATGCTTTTTTAAACATTTATATTAAAATGTGTTTTAATAATTTTATTTAAAAAAAAATCGTTGTATTTTATATTTAAATGTGCAAAAGTATCACCCGTTTTCGGTTTTGAAATACGGCCTGATTACTTTGCTCTCGCTTTTTGGAAAATTTTACTATTAATTTTATTAATTATCAATAAAATTGGTAATAAAACAATGGTAATATATTATTTCTTTAAATAATATTGAATGATATATAATAATAATAAAGCAATTATTTTATTTAAATGTAACAAATGTAAAAATGTAACAATGATGACTATCATTTAAATATTAATTAAATATAATACAGTATTAAAATTCATGAATAATATTGCTGATTTGAAAATATCGAATCATGCAATATTATTCGTATTTTTCTTATTTTGCTAATATTATATGATGCTAATAATAAGACTTAATTCAAATTTTTAAGAAGACTTAAATTTATCTTAAGATTTAAATTTATATACAATATTTTTTAAATTGAATTATTAAGCACAATAAGAGTCTCCCACAATTCTATTTTAAACTTTTTTTTAATTTTTATCATATCTGATGGGAATAAAGGCCTTAATAGTGCCTTGATATCAATGAAAAAAAATGACACAAATTTTATGCCCATCATATTTTGAAATAAAAAATAATATTGCATGCAATTTTAAGAAAAACAATTATTAATTTTGGAAATGATTTAAAAATGGTCATATGTGAATTTTATGAATATATGCATAGATTATTATAGAACAAATGACTTATAATTGAAAAAAAATAGAAAGGTCACCATTTAGAATAGAAAGGGCAAATATTGCCAAAAAAGTTTTAAATTATTCAAATCTTTAAATATTTATCACATCTTAGAAACATTTTTTAATTCATTATCTTTTGCTATTAATAACAAGAAAGCATATATATATATATATGTATATGTATATTGAAAATAATAAATTTTATAAATAAATTATCTATAAATCGATAATGCAATAAATAGTATCTTAAAAAATTTTCAATTATAAACATATTTTACACATGTTTAATCCAAAAGGATCTACATTTAATGTGAATCAGAAAAATTATTCACACTTTTAACTACATATCGCGATGTGCAATTAAATTTTGATTATTTTTTTATGTAATTCATTAATAAAAAATGCTTTTAAAGCCTTTCAACAGTCTAATTATACGAAATTTAGCAGGAGACAATATTAATATATAAGGTACAAAATTTTAAAATGATTTAATACATATCATATAAAATAATTGTCACTGCGATATAAAATTTCAAATGTGAACATAATTTTAATTAAATTCAATAATTATTAATAGTATCATGCATTACGGGTATAAATGCTCTCTTGAATTATATAAATGTTAAAGTTCATAATAAAAACATATGGTGACCGGATTTCAAATTCCAACTTAAGTACATTGTATACTGTGCTCGGCAATAATAGAATTTTATTCTATCAAATAGCAGGATATTTTGCTAATATATATCGATATTCATAAAAGAATAAATTTCCAAAGATTGAAGATAGAAATTTTGCTTTCTTCAAAAAATAAAAAAGGAAAATCTTGATAATGAGGAATCCTTTATTTATAAACGTGTACACGGATCTAAAAAAATTCTGTATTAATAAATTATGCGCGAAATTTTTAAGAAAATACGAATATGTTACACTGCAATTATTGTATTATTATTATTGCTATTATAATCATTGTTATCATTATTGCGCAAAATCTTCGAAACACAATTGTATATATATCTTTTCCTTTTGTATTTTGGATGAAATGTATATTTTAATAAAATATCCAAAGTATGAACTTTTTTAATTTCGTCTTTATATTCTATAACTAAAAATATATATTTCTTTTTTTTCTTTTTTGTTAATATGTATTTACTTTTTGTTAATATATTTTTTTTATTAAAAATTTGGAAAATTACTTTCAATTATGAAAAGATTATTTAAAAATTTGGATTTTTGGATATTTAATAAAATAATATTTATAAAATAAATAAAATATAGAAAATTTATTTCCTAAGTAATAATTTCTTTCGATTAGATATGTAAAATATTGAATAAAAATTTAATGTAATTTATTAGTATTTAAAAAAATTGATATTATAAATATTATAATAAATATTATAATAAATATATTATAAATAAAAATGACAAAAATATAAATATATGAAATAATAAATTATGAATATTATTTATTAAGTTATTTAAATCAATATAAATTTTTCTTTTTTAATATCTATTTAATATCGAAAATTATTAAATAATCTAGTGAATTTATCTAGTGACTTTATCTAGTAACATAATTTATTAAAAAATTGGTAGTATATAATACTATAATATTATAATATAGAGCATACTTCAATTTATTTGAAATCATAATAAATCTTGATGATTTATGTGATGTTTGATATGTAGTACAAGAAAATTATTTTATATTTAAAATAAGTTTCTGAAAATTTGTTTTATACAATGGCTATGTTCGAAGTATTGAGAAAAGAATATAGTGTAAGAATTATAATAAAACATAATTAATAATAAGTTGGAGATTATGTGATTTATGTATTTGAGTGATATTTTCATTTGCTTTTTTAGGATTATTTACAACAATGTTTTAAAGTATCAGATATACAGACATTTCAAAAGAAATGTACAGAACGGTGTACAAATGATAGTGATAGAAAAGCTGCTATTGATCAAGCATTAAGGGACACGCTTCTTGTAATATTATCTGAAAATGCATTGAACAACGTGCAATTACTTGAGACTTATATTACATTTTGTATTGAATTATGTAGAAAAGATTTAGCAACTGCAAGTATGCCAGTGATGCTTCTTGGAGATATATTTGATTCAATGACACTTGATAGATGTGAACAACTTTTTACTTTTGTTGAAAACAATGTAGTTGTGTGGAAAGAAGATTTGTTCTTTAGTGCTTGTAAAAATAATTTATTAAGAATGTGCAATGATTTACTTAGAAGATTATCTAGATCACAACAAACTGTATTTTGTGGAAGAATTCTTTTATTTTTAGCTAAATTTTTTCCTTTTTCTGAAAGATCTGGTCTTAATATTGTTAGTGAATTTAACTTAGAAAATCATACAGAATTTGGTTCTGAAAAATCAGAAGGAGATGATTTAGAACAAATAACTAAAGATGATGATAAATCAGAAACTAAAGTGCCAATTGATTATAATTTATATAGAAAATTTTGGGCACTTCAAGATTTTTTTAGAAATCCTAATCAATGTTATCAGAAAATGCACTGGAAAGTATTTTCAGCAGTAAGTTTAAATTTTTATATTAGTATAATTATATTTTTTGTCATAATCTTTATATATCTTTTATATTTTTTATATATAATTTTCCAGCATGCTTCAAGTGTGTTATCTGCATTTTCATCTTTTAAATTAGAAGAGCAACGTAATTATCCTTCAACATGCATTAAAGTTGATTCTTCTATAGAAGGATCCCATAAAGAAACTCCTTATTTTGCAAAATATTTGACAAATCAGAAATTATTGGAGTTACAATTATCTGATTCAAATTTCAGGCGATATGTATTATTGCAATTTCTCATTCTTTTCCAATATCTTAATAGCACTGTTAAATTTAAAGCGTAAGTATCTATAATTTATACATTTTTATATATTACAATTGTATTTTATTACAATTGAATTCACAATTCCTCTTGATAGAATTGCACATTTTTAAATAAATCATTAGTAAAATGACTTTGAAAGCTATAAAACGATGTTTGTTTTCCAAAGCTTCCTTGCCAGTGGCTATGAGACAAGGTCTGCTTTCCTTAAATAGTGTTTCAAGTTATCAATATCTCAGAGTCTCAATAACTTTTGTATTTTTTAAGTGAAACACATGAACTGAAGCCTGACCAAGTAGACTGGGTAAAAGCAACCACAGAGCAAGTGTATGCCTTATTGACAGAAACACCTCCTGATGGTCCTACATTTGCAGAAACTGTTAAAAATATATTAAAACGCGAAGAGCATTGGAATGCTTGGAAAAATGAAGGATGTCCAGCATTCAAAAAGCCAGCTCCAGATTCTAGCACTGATATAGAAGATTTAAGGAAACCAAAGAGACCAAAACGCAGAATTGGAGATGTTATTAGAGATGCTCAAACAGTTGGAAAATATCATATGGGAAAGTAAGCAATCATTTAAAAAAATTTATTATATTTTATTTTTATATTAAATATGCAATTTAATTTTATTATTTGTAGCCCAGAACTTACAAAATTATGGAATTTGTGTCCCAACAATCTTGAAGCATGTAAATCCAAAGAAAGAGATTTTCTTCCATCTTTAGAAACATACTTTGAAGAAGCTATTATGCAATTAGATCCTAATGCAATGGTAGAAGATGAATACAAGTAAATATTCTTATTACATATGTATTTCATATTATTAAATTTAATTAAAAAATTACATGTTGATTTATTTTATTTATTACAGGAAAGTAAATGATGGAAATTTCGGTTGGAGAGCATTAAGATTATTGGCTAGGCGTAGTCCTCATTTTTTTGTTCATGGGAATTATCCTATTAATAAACTTCCTGAATATTTAGAAACAATGATCAAAAAAATTGCTAAAGATCGTCCAGTAAGTATAACACTATTATTTTATTATTTCTATATTATGCTGTTATATATTAATGTCTAAATTTGAAAATGAATTTTAACTTTGAAAGCAGACACAATCAGATATAAAATTAGAAACGGAGGAGACTCCACCACCAGAAGCAAATGATCAGGAATTTAATGAAGATGTTCTTAAACAAGATAGTGAACAAGTTGAAACCGAAAATACCGATACAAAAGGACGAAAACTAACAAAAGTGACACCTGAAATGGTAGCGAGATTGTCAGAGATTTTGAAAAACGATTGGAAAAAATTAGCAACTAAATTTGGTTATACAAGTGAAGAAGTAAATAAATGTT